CTTCTCTTCTGCGTTGTTCCTCGTGTGTTTAATGTGTGCCTTTCCGCCTCCCTACTTCCCTCTTTCTCCTTTTGTTGCGTCCTCGCCTGCTTCTCCCTCTCCCCTGTCGTACCGTGTTGCGTGTTTTGCTGTGTGTTGTTGCCCCTTCTCTCTCTTTCCCTTTCCCCCCTCTCTCTCTCCTTTTCCCCTCTCTCTCTCTTTTCGTCTGTTATCCCCCTCTCTTCTCTCCCTTCCCTCTCTCTCTCCCTTCTCCCCTCTCTCTCTCTCCTTCCCCTCTCTCTCTCCCTTTCCCCTTCTCTCTCTCCCTTTCCCCTCTCTCTCTCCCTTTCCCCTCTCTCCTCTCCCTTTTCCCCTCTCTCTCTCCTTTTTCTTCCCCTCTCTCTCTCCCACCTTTCTCCTCTCTCCCTTTTTTTCCCTCTCTCTCCCCTTTCCCTCTCTCTCTCACCTTCCCTCTACTCATCCCTCTCCCCTTTTCTCCTTTCTTGTCCCCCTCTCTCCACCCCTCTCCCCTCCTCTCACGTGCGTTGCATAGTTATGTGGGGCGTGGCGTGTTAAAGCCGCGTCTTGTGCCGTGTGTGATCGTGCGATGCGCATTTCTGTTTTGCTGTGTCGCTCTGGCAACAGAATAGAGCTCGACAACATCAGCCGACAGCCCCCCCACCATCCGCAACGAAGAACCTCCGTAGCTACTGTAGGCACGAAGGGCGGTCGTACTTTGCCATTGCGGCCAGTTTACAATCATGTGTTGTGTGTACTGCCATTCGTTGTGGGCGTTGTGTCGTGGCTGTCTGTGAAAGCGGAGGAAGTGTGGGGTGGCAGGGCGGTGTGGTGTGGCTGTGTGTGCGGGATGGGACGCAGGTGAGGGGGAGGAAGGGTCACGCCCAACCACCCAAATGTGTGGGTGTGGTGTCTGAGGAGCGACAAAGGACGTTGTGTCCCTCCGTGTGGTGTATCATGTTACAAGACTGTGTGGCTCGTGCACAGGATCAATGTGTAATAAAATATTCTTAAACTTGTCTTGCTGAATTCCTTAGGTTGTGTCGCGCGAGCGAATGACCCTCCTTTTCTGCTCCTTGTCCCCCCTCCCGGCCAGTTTTTTGCTTTTCGTTTCGTTTTGCTTGACCCTTGTTTCTGTGCCTTCCTCCTTGCAATCTATTATTTTCTATCCTTTCTCCCAAGCGTGTGCGTCCCCTGATCTCTTGCTTTTGTTCGATTTTTTCCCCCACTCCCTTCATAATCATCTTCCTGTTTGCGATTCATGCTAGTTTTTAGTTGCTTTCCCCTTCCTTGTATTCTGTGTTCCTCGTGTTCCTCTTATCCCCCATCCTGTTGGTCGCCCACCCTTCCTTTCCCTCGTGTCTGTGTGCCCTGGTCCTATTGTGGTTCTCGCGCTTGTTAATACCCTATTTATATGTCCTCATTATTATAACCTCCGTACTATATATGCATCATTCCCTCTATTAATATTATTGCTCCTGCCTCCCCATACTATATAATATATATATATATATATACTATATAATTATACTTCTATATTCCTTCTCTCTGCATCTTACTTTTTCTACACTTCCCTCATCTACTCCTATATATGTATTACTTCACAGCTCTCACGCTTTTCACCTACCACTATACTTTTACTATATTACATTATCTAGACCTTTCCTTGTCATCTTATTCAACCCCTACTTACTCCTTTCCACTTATTCCTCCCCTTCACTAAAATCATCCTCAACTTTATCTCCTCCAACCCTCTCATTCACCTCTTCACACTCCTACTTGACTATAGCGCTCCATTACCTCTTTTAATCAGTATAATTCCCGCCTGAACACCCCTAATTCGGAAGTAGCCCTATCATTTATGTATTGGTTATCTATATAGTTTGTGTCTTCATATAAAAACGTAGACACTATAAAAATGAGAGTATATAATTTATACCTCTCGACAATGAGGTATAATGCACGGCTATATAAATGGAACAACCAGATAACTTATAAAAGACATAATAACTAATAGACTCGACTTGATAAAATTAATCTAGTCCCTTGATAAATAACACATTATTTTAGCTGGAAAACGTCCATCCTAAAGATTAACTACTACCTCATGACTGTTATTATAACTATCATGATAGTACATTAAACATAATATCAATGAGCAGTGATAAGAATTCACCTACTGTTAAATATATCATTAATATAATTATTTATACAAATCGTATATAATAGTAATACATCAGAAATAAAATTATGGTGAATAATGCATATAAGTGATATATACTCAAATAAATACGTGAGTGTAAAAGTAATTTAAAAAATATATACTATAAGACACAAATGATAATTGATAGCGTATTACTAAAAATAAACTAACCTGGGTATATTATATTGCTTTTTTCTTTTTTTGTAAAAGGAATATAGTAGGAGAGAAACTCGTATTACTTCTGTATTAAGTAATAATCATGGATCTGTCACTCAGATATAATATATATATATATATTATTATATATAATATATATATATAGTGTAAACCAACATATATAAAATCAAGTGACACATTTAATATATATTAACGTTATAATTGATATACATATTAATACCCGATAATATACACGTTCTCCAGGGATTGCAGGTGAAGGCGATAAGTACTATATCATTTAAATAATTCATATAATTTACTCCATTATCATAATTATGATATGACTACCCCTATAGCCTCGGAACCAGTACTAGAATCACAATAATATTTTAAGACTTAGGCATAATATATATCATATTAAAATAATTATACGTAAAAACACACGAGACTGCA